GGGGGGAGGGCAGGGAAAAGGGGCCCCAGGGAGGGCAGGGAATAGGGGGCGGGGGGGAGGGAAAAGGGGTCCCAGGGGGAGGGCAGGAAAAGGAGCCCCGGGGAGGGCAGGGAAAAGGGGCCCCGGGGAGGGACCCGCCTTCGGGACCTCACAGTGAGGTCAGTGACAGCCGCCTACCACACACTTGTTCTAATATGGTCGCTCACTCCAGAAGCGAGGGCGCTGCAACCTCGCACCCCCTTTCCCACACAGACTCGCCCCAGACCTTCACTGTTTTCTCTCCGCCCAGAGTTTGACCCCAGCGTGACAGTCTCCCAGTGATCAGCCCCCCAGGAAGTCCACGCCTGCCCTCGCCTACAGTTTGCTGCCTACTGCTGCCCGCCCCACCTCTGTGCCTGCAGTAGGCTTAGCAAGTGGAAACTTCCAACGGGCAGGATGACTTGGTTCATAAACTTGCTACATCTCTGGGAACCAGATTCAGCCCCGACACAAGCTCGGAAAAGTCTCCGAGCCCCATCTGTAAACGAGCCTATGAATACCTAATCTTGCTGAAGATAGGAAGATGCTAACAGTAAGAACAAACCCAACTTCTGGTCTGCCCTGGCCCCATAACCTATAACCTGACTACGAAGCAAACTGACAGCTGGCTGGGATGGCGGTTTTAACGGGACGACGTCGGGTGTCAGGAGGCCTAAACCCAACAAATGTGCCTTGATTAGGACCCATCCTTGGAAGATACAACTGGCCTTCTGAAGTGAAATCATGGTACAAACAAGAAGTGAAATTATTAAATTATTAAAATGAGAAACATACAAAGAGGAATTGATACCCACAATTTCCAATGTTCTATAGCTTTTTTTTTTTAATGTGGAGAAAAGATAGCAAATGTCAAACAGAAAAGATTTGTTTACAATTTCCCTGAAAAATGATGGTGAAACCCTCCTATCAAGCGCTGGACTCAGGTGGTCCCTGGTGAGAAATGATATTTGTCATATAATTCTCCTTTCTAAGTGTAGGACTTAAAATGTCAGAATCTGAGAGACATGCAGACCTTCACTTTATATATGACGACCATGATGGTGATAGAGGTGGTGGCGGTGATGGTGACGGTGGTAATGGTGGTGGTGATGATGACAGGTCTCATTTATTGAGAACTCACTACATGCCAACCGTTCCGCCAGGAACTTCACATGTATGTATCACTTCCTTGAATCCTCATCATGACCCTTTGATGGAATATTATTACCCGTACTCTGCAGAGGGGGGAACTGAGATTCAAGAGATGAAGTCCCTTGCACAAAGTGACATAGCAAATGGCAGATACAGGATTCAAATCTAGAGCTGTATGATTATTGGGCCATACTTCAGAGTGTTTCTCTCTCAGATCCAAGTTCAAATGTATTCCTCAATGCTTTTTGGCAGAATCCCACTGAACCCCTCTGGGAAGACTGTGTGATGAATCCAGCCCTCACTTTATACATGAAGAAACTAAGCAACACAGGGGGGCAGTGATTTTTCCAAGGAAAAGGAGTAGCAGTGGCAGAGTTAAGTCTGGAACTGTCTTTTAGAAGCCAGGGCCAGTGTTCTAGTGCCCTGAACAGCATCAGGCACACAGTAGGTCCTCAATAAGTATCTGAAGAGTGGCTCGAGATGTACAACCTGCTGGTAGCACAATCAGTAATTCCGGGCACTTTGGTTCCCAGTCCGAAGAAATACCCACCCCACCTCACAGCTTCCTGGCCAGTAGTCCATGTTCTAAAGGGTCTGTCACAAATACTGATCTCCCTGAGGGGAAATAGCCACCGTCTGCTAAAGGCTTAGACAACCTACTGTGCACCAGACACTGTACTAAGCCCTCTACATTGACCCCCGCCGGTCTTCACTGCTTCATGAGGTGAGTGCTCTTACTGTCCTATTTTCAGATGAGAAGACTGAGGCTCAGGTGGATAAAGTGAAGCCCCAAGCGTGCTCAGGGAGGGGACGCAAGGATGCAAACCCCAGGTGTGTCTGACTGTAAGGCCTGAGCTTCAATCCCCCCCCCCCACCCTGGCTCCACTAGCTTCTGCCCAACACAGTACCCGAAAGGGGAGTGGGAGTGAAAAGGAGGCCTGACTTGCCCCCACACACCCTGGTTTCAAGGGAGCAGTTGTGCTTTTCACTGTTTTGCATACTGGGCATCTGCTCAAGTCTTCCCTGAAACAGAGCTTTGCAGCAAAATTTTAAAATGACAATATGCCGGAGACCAGAGCTCTGCGCCCTCTCTGGCGACCACACCACCCGGGAACCAGGCCTGCCTCCTCAGAAGGCTCTACCCCTCCCTCCACCACATCCCTGCTCACACCTCCACGCCCCTCTTCTGTCCTGAAAGTTCGGAGAACTCCTTCAAAGACCCAAATGTACAGTCAGCTCTGCAGCAGCGAGAGCCTGCAGCCAGACAGCTCAGGCCTGAGCACACAGGCGCGCAGCCATGCAACCTCTCCAGGTCCCAGATTCAACAAGCTGCTCCGTCCTCTCCTTCTACTGAGACCAGAGACAAACCCTAAGACTCCCCACCACCCCCAGGGACACAGGCAATGACGGGAGCCATCAGTATAACAGCAAAAGCTGCGTGCTTTGTCCTGGGCGATTCAGATCAATCATATTAGGATTCACCCGCAGAGTACTCCTGTATGTCAGGATGGTAATGGTTTTTATCCATACACGCATGAGAAAACTAAAATTCAGGAGCCTCAGGCCACTAGCCTCAGTGAGATGATTTAGTTTATAAATTGTGAGGTTGGGATGTGCACCAAGACCTTTGGAGTTCATCACTGATGCTGTATGGCCCCCCATTATCACTGTCTCCCTTATTTGTTGGTGTTTATTATTATTCAGCAGGTGACATGTTGCATTGTTTCATTACTTGGCACGGTTCACAACTTCAGTGCAGTGAAGCTGTGTTACATTATCAAACACATCTTACACACAGGAAGGTTAGACACAGAGCTTAGATGGCCTCGCCAAGGGGCCTGGGGTAAGGTGGGAATCAAAACATCTTGTCTCAGGCTCCCTGTGCTCCTCTGTCTCCCAGGGGCGGACACTCAGATAGCCCAGAAAGAATGTGCCCATTGCACCTGGTAACTGGGGCAGAATAATGGCTTCTCAAGACAGCCCAGCCCTAACCCCCCAAAGTGGTGAATTTGGACTTTGCAGATGTGATTAAGTGAAAGAGCTGAGGTGAGGTGATTATCCAGAGCTCTTTGGTGGTTCCAATATAACCACAATGGTCTTTATGGGGAAAGAGGAAGAGAGGAGAGGTCATGACGAAGGAGAGGAAGAGAGAGAGGGAGGGAGGGAAGGAGGCTGTGACTCTGCTTTTAAAGATGGAGAAAGAGGCCACACACCAAGAAATGGGGGCGGCAGCCCCTGGAAGCTACAAAAAAGAAATGAATTCTCCAGCAGCACTTCCAGAAGGGGCGCAGCTCCCACTACAGAGCTTCTGGCCTCTAGACCTGCAATGTAGTGACTGCGCTGCTTTATGCCACTGAATTTGCTGTCGCATGACAGAAGCACAGGAAGCTGGCGCAGCAGCTCCACCACAGGGACCGGCACAAGAATCCCTCTGAGAGCGGCCCTAGGAGTCAACTGAGCACGCAGCTGGCCGAGGTCCCCACAGCTCCCCACAGCCCCATCTCCACAATACTGCGCACGTGTGTGCCGGGGGGTGCATCTGCTCCCACACGCTTGCACCCCGAGAGAGGACTGGCCCCCGCCGAGGCCCTGTGGCTGGAGGGCGCTGTTGGGGCACTTGGCGGCTGATTCACTCTGAGAGCCTGCGGGGAAATGCTACCATCAAGAACACAAAAGGGAAGATAGGTCACAGGGCAGCTTTCCAGGAGCCCAACTCCTCACAGGGGATCAGTCACAAACAAAGCAAGAAACTGGAGCAGAGACAGGGTGAGCAAGACAGAGCGAGACAGGGACCAAGAAAGCGCAGGAGGGAGAATGACTGCTGGTCCCAGCCAGGCTGTGAGCCCATCGCCCGCTCGTGCCTCCGGGGAGGGGCAGGTGTGGGAGGCCCACGAAGAGCAAACGGTAATGACAGAGAAGACGCAGCAGGACTTGGCGAGACAAGCTTTTAGGACAAGTCACCTAGCCAGTTAGTCCATCAATGTGATGTCGTCGAGCAATTGTCAGTTGCCTTCTAGGGCTCTGACACTGAGTCCTGACCCCCCCGGCTGTGTGACCTTGGCTATGTCGCCGCGTGCTCGGAGCCCCGGGTTCCTCGCTGCCACTGTAGAGGGCCTCGCCCTAGCTACCACCGTGGGCGGGACATTTCACTGGCTAACGGGTGTGGAGAGCATTGGATACGCTCAATACCGGACTAGGGTTACGATGCGTTGGGTACCTGCTGCATGCTGGAGCTTAACTAGACTTCTGT